GTATGTCCACTGCTGATATCCTCTGTCCACATAACGTCGTTCCTCGGATAGCTTTAATGTGGCCCAGCGAGCGGAGTTCGCATTACTTCATATGAAGTTGGAGTCGAACTTAAGGATTTAGCAATGCCTCGATGATTGACAGGAAGTGGGTTCAGAAGTCCGTCGGCAGCGGTGGCTGATGGGCTACTAGCTGGCAGCAAACGGCGATACTCGTTAAAAAGCCTTTGTCACCTCGATTCGAGGTCCCTGTGCGCGTTCGTCTTTAAACAACTCTGGGCTTCGACGTGTTCGATTCGAGTGTCTTGATCGGAAAAAAAGAGTCTTTTCGAGTAGCTAGAAGCAGCACTGGGGTCCGACCACAGCCATCTTTCGCTATGCAGCACTCTCCAGTCAGTAGTCCACTTACGGTGAGCTGAGACCCAACAGCGGAGACGAGTCACGAAGCCGCTCGTCCTCAGGGATTCGTCTGAGAAGATGTTTCACTCGCTTCGCTAAGCAAGTGTCGTCAGGGAAGTCTCGTGACTGCCTTCAGACCTGATCCTGATGCTTGAAGTTCGAATCGCGTAGTTGAGTCGTGGAGCCGCGTATGTCATTCACATTGAGCGGCTGACTGAAATCCGAGATGACTTCAATGTATTCCTCAAATAGACGTATGATAAATAGGTACCTTGTTGCCTTATGCACTGATAGTGGACTATGCCATTTTGAATCAATGCCAGTAATCGTAGCAATCGGAAACCAATCTAACCAGCTTCGTTTTCTCCTTCTTCTATCTGTTGTAGTAGCGATAGTGGTCGATGGAAAAGACGATGATGCAGAACTTCCTGCAGTAACTTACAAGGAAATATCCAGTCAGTTAAATTACTCGAATTTTGCAACAGATAATGGGTCGTCAGTTGGAGTGTACCCATTGGGTACTAGTGGCATCCAATGGGTACACTGCAATGGGCGAAATAAGCTCGAACGACGCACTGAATTCATACCTACTACTTCGACATATTATCAAGTCTAATAGCTTATACACATTACTATACGAAATAGTAATAAGAGTAACTAGATGATAAAACTAACATCTTGAGCAACGTTTTCAAAACATAAGGCCTACTGTCCGCAGTGCGTTGGATTGAGTAGAGTGACTTGTCAACTTCTATATGTATGTCGGTGGTCCTACAAACTGCGCTCAGCGTGTATTTTCCATCGTGCGCCAATAGTCCTAGAGTGTTTCTTACGGTCCCTGAGGTAAAACAGACATCGTCTCCTAAAAATGCTTTGCATCCACGTTCCCGTCAGTTGCAAAGGGTACGCCCGTTCAAGCGGATTCGAAAATCGCGTTTGACCACTAACATCACTAGCGTAGTGCAGCAACTCTTATCCGTCGCCGTTTGGGCTGTGACGTTGCTCTCTGTCAGTGTATGTACATACAATTCGCATTCTCGTACGCTACCAACCCGTTTTACCGCCTATCCATTCTGTAAAGCGAAGAACATGCAATCGTTACACTGGGAAGATGACATGCACGGTTCAGGCACACAGAAAACGTTGAGATAGCCAGATTCACATTAAATATGTGCAGATAGGTGTAAACATTTCATATAGAATCTTGAACAATTGAAGTGCTAGCGTTTTTATGGGATTTGTCCATGCACGAGACGCTTTCATAGATGCTTTGCCGACGATAGCAATGCTACAACCTTTGCCGCTGACCGTCAGAGTGGTAAGAAACGTTTCTTGCCTGTGCTGCATCAGCAGCTACTTAACACCGTCAAGAAAGAAGCCACGAGTTATGAAGGCAGCAACGGGGGGCTGACAACGAGGGCATCTAGTGCTGTGAACCAAGTAGGCTGCCAGAGACGTAACTCTGTAGCGGGCAATGGGTTTAGCATTGGTCGTATGTCAGGAGTCATAAGGATGGCTCCCTCGGTAGACATCACATGCTGCACTCGATACATCGCGAGGTTGACTCTACTAACCAGCAGCGGGCCGAGTGCAGCTGACTGGCTGCCGTCATCGGGCGAAGACGTCGTCTATACATAGAAGGGAGTGGAGGAAGGCGGACATGGGTGGTAGAATCATGAGGTCAGTTGGATGGTCGGATCATAAACACAACCGAATGCAGCCGTGGTCTGGATGGGATTACTTCCTAGAAAAAGGACGCACACACACGTATACCCTACCTGTCCTTATGAAGACAGAGGGAAAACGAAGGGAAAGCGGGGGCAGCAACAGTATGTTCTTCCATTGGCGCTTGTCAGTGAGCACCATTGAACAATGCTGCAATGGAAGAGGAGGTCCCTTGTTGCCAAGGTGTAAATATCATTTATTTAGCTCGAGAGAAAGATTTGCGACTGCTTGTAGGATCGTAGCATTTAGGTAAGAAGCTAGTATAGTAGAAATTGTGGCAGGAGTGGGATAGAGCGGAGTTACGCTGTAGCCACCTAATAATATCAGAAAAGCGTCTGATGTCGACAGAATGCAGGCCACTGATGCGTTGGCCACTAATGTTTCAGTGAAAAGAGGAAATGGAACGCACATATATGTATAGAAGAGTATTATTATTATTATTAGTGATATATAATTATTCAACTCTTCAGACGTAATCTGAAAGGATAGCTTTTACAGCCAAAACTTCGACAAGTTCAACAACAACAACATTCGACAACTCAAAGCGCTCAATGGCTCGCATTAGGTGCATCGTCGCTTACCATGTCTAACACTGTGTGTACTGACTTCTTCGTTTTCTATCGTGTCGAGCTTTGTATTCTAATTTAATAAGTCTATTTATACATCCTATATATCTCACTTCAAATATCTATTTGTGCTTGTACGGATGCCATTTATGACGCTATGGTGCAAATGGAGAGCACGCATATCGTTTAGGAAGTATACCATCTTTACGTTTCCCATAAGCACTCGTGGAGAAAACGTAAGGTATGATAGGGACCTATGATAGTGCTAGGTCAATCGAGAATATGGAATATATTGTCTACAATATATATTATACGTGTTTACGATATAGTCTTTATATATATTTATATAAAGATACTTAGTGTGTAAGTGCCTGTGACACGGTCGGCGATGGGTACCGTGCTATTGATAACGTTTGAAAATAGGATGAATCTTTGTGTATGATCTCTGGTGGACAATGAGCACATGGAGGATAACATCGCACAAGTAAAACACCGGTAGATATCTGCATATCTGTGTGCATGTATGTGTGCTTTATGAAGTATCAGCGACGCGAGGCTCCTGTTGATTTTGCCGAAGTTCTCTCCACTTTCCGCGCGTTGTTCTCTCTTGAACGGCACGTGTCGAATGAATACCATCATTTGGCGAATTAGGCTCCTTTTTGCCCGACATAATACGATATGGAACATGGCGCGCTCACTAGTACACTTGGTACCTGAACAGAAGCGCTGGTGCTTTGCCAGTTCGCATAGGCCGATGATTCGGTCATGTCCACGCTTTCTCTTGCGCAGTCTATCTCCCTGTCCCTTTGTCCTATGTTTGCAGGGTAAGTGTACAGATACGACGACTGGAAACGTGAATGGATGACGAGTGGTGTAGTAGGGTGTTGTAGCACCAGGTTTTTCGGCCGCCGACGCTCTACTTCTCCGTGCACGTGTGGCAAGCAACATATGAGTGTATTGTGTCTCTTAGTATGTGGGTAATGGCCTGAAGGAAGTGCACGTGCCTTGCGAGATGGACATGCCGAGCCCTCTAGTTCACACAACACGACAACTACGATAACAAGAAAGCTACTTTATCGGGATCGGCTGGCTCAGGCCGGCTGACTGCCGAGGTAACCCACATAAGGACACGTGCCTCGTTTACACTATCTGGCCGATGAAGCAATGAAACAGCAGGCCAGCAAAGGTGGAAAACCGGATGAGAAAGGCGTGTGTGTTCAACGACAAGAGGAAACAAGCACATCATCTATTGGGAAGCATTAGCGCAGGAGACAAGTTCAAGATGGATCTATTATTTTGGATATGATCGTGATTAAAGTGATCATATCCATCCACGAACGAAACATGAAATTCTAAAGAGGACAAATGACTGTGCGATAGAATGGCGCACTGTATGTATGGCCAAATAGTAAACAAATGGCCAAGTGTATAATGATAGTGCGAATACGAGGCCTTTCAGGAAAGGTGTTTCAATGAAGCGAGTTCTTGTATCGGGAAAATATTTCCATAGTCAGATATTTTATGACGCCAACTGAAGTCCTATGGCTTTTTCTGTGAGGGATGTTTTTTCTTTCGTCTCGGTGAACTTGCATAGTTACAGATACTCTTTGTGTGACTCAGAAACTGATCAGACGAAGAAAATGCGTTGAGTCGATTATGAGATAGGAAAAAGCAGGCAATCAGAAGCAAATTTCCGGTAAAATCTCCCTTGTCAATCTCTCACTGTATTGCCTCGGGCGTTTAGGCTTTTAGCGCATCTGTGTAGGAAGACGAAGAGGTGACAATATGTCTTGGAGGGTTGGAGATTTTGTAGAGATTTGCGGACGGTTGCATATGCGACTGAGTGGAAACGCAGCAAGCAGACAGACCCCTAGCATGGCCGGCTCACAAGGGCCCGAATTGTTCCCCGAAGCAGAATAGTGTACAACAAGCTGAACGACAGATCTCAGCGAAATTCTAGGCGACTACACGGGTATCGATTACGAGATAATGTTGAAATAAGCTAATAAGTGTAGGAAATGTATATATATGACTTTCGTAATATTTGCTAATTTTTTCGATTCGGCTGTTAATATGTAAGATATAGGGTTCGAGTTAGCCAGCCGCTTCAATAGAGAAAGAATGATCTTGAGAAAATCCGACATGTTGATCTCACACTGTACCTAGTTTCATTTGAATATAAACAGTTGGTCTGTTTCTATGAAGTGGGATAGTATTTGCTGATTAAAAATACCAAACAAGGCGCTAGTAACAAAATAAAGCAATAATAATTGTATATTTATTTTAATTTAAATATTTATCTCTGTTTGTTAGGTGGGGAGGCGATCAAACGGGAAGCTTCACCAAGCAGCACGTACCCTCGACCAGAACGCTCGGCTTCTGCAGACAGCGCACGAGCCTCCTCAACTTCAAGTCCACCCATTCAAACAAGCGGTGGCCATCATCTGACGGCTTCCGTATCTGCAGGCTCTTCTATGCCACCTAATTCTACCGCGTCTCCTGGTAAATACCATAGTTATTAAACGTACGAATTGTTTGTCGATATCGCGCACTACCTACCTTTTGCGAGCTCTGAATTTGGATTGCTTTGTAGCTGTTGGATGTGTACGGCTTGCGCATGTATACCGCTATAGTTTGGTTTACGGTTGAATAGCGTCAGCGAAAACAGGCACTAAATAAATATAGTACAAGTTTACTATTTCCTATATGGGAAGCCCACCCGAAGTTTCGCGCATGGCCTGAATGTCATACTTCCAAAAAACATAATGGGCCATGTATAGACTATATATCACTCAAATTCTGAATCGCATTTTCGTTTTATATTTGTGGCGGGGCAATGAACTAATAGACGTCATTATCGATGGTTGCAGGATCACCTTTAGGTCGGCCTTCAGGCACTATTTTTCACCATCCAGGCCTGAGTGCCGTTTCTACGCATACACACTCATTGCATCAGCATAGCCATTTAGATTCGGACTGCGAAGATGATGACGTCAAGGACGATATGAAGTGTGGAGTAGATGACAAAAACGCTCAACGCCGCAAAAAAAAGACGCGCACCGTATTTACGCGCAGCCAGGTATTTCAGCTCGAGTCGACATTCGACATGAAACGCTACTTGTCTAGCAGTGAGCGTGCTGGCCTGGCTGCATCGCTACACCTAACTGAAACGCAGGTTAAGATATGGTTCCAGAATCGTCGAAATAAATGGAAACGACAACTGGCAGCAGAGCTGGAGGCGGCCAATATGGCGCATCATGCCGCCGCAGCGCAGGCCGCTCAGGGCATGGTTCGAGTGCCGCTACTCTACCACGAGGGGGCCGCACCGAGTACCGTTTCGAATGGTGTCATGCCAACTAGCTCAGCATCTCCTCCGGGTGCACCCACCTCAGCAGTTACTACAGTTAGCTCATCCGCGAGTTTAGCACTGACCGAAGCTGCGTCGACTATTGCTGCCCTTGCACCCGGTCGCACTTCACCCGCACGTTCGACGACCGCCGGGGGTTCACCGCCTCCGACAGGCCAACTAACCGCGCCATCAACAATCTCGGCGTTAGGTAGTGCGGCCGCTGCCTTGGCGGCTGGAGCTGCCGCTGCATACCCTGCGTCCTTGTATTACCACCAGTTCGCTGCCGCTCAGGCACCGCCGCCGCCGCCGCCACACTCTGATGGACCAGCCACGCCAGGGAGCCCTCCTACAGCCACCATTCGGCCTCCGCAACTTCCGGGAATCGTCTAGATTTGTTCCACACAACAGAGACATCATATCTGCAGTACTCCAGAAACTAGAACAGCACCGGCAGTAGCAACAACGTCGTGGGCGTGTTACTGAGGTATCAAGTACAGCAAAAAAACACTGCTGAATTTTAGCGCGTTACCGCATACATATAAGTATAGTCTGAAGAGCAGCCGAAGAAACATAGTCGTCGCAAAGACAACGTAAATTTATAGCAAGACGTTCACAGAATCCGTCTACGAAACCCGGTGCTACCAGGTGGTTCAATAGCTGCGTGTGTAGCATTCGATTATGTTGAAGGGCTGACGGCTGAAGTACTATACTATATAGCTTATAGTATATTACAGTATAGTTGAATGAGCGGATTTCCACAAAGCCATTAAACTAATAGGATCAGTGGAATCTGGGCTGAGATTAAATACCCGCAAGGGAAAGAAACCTTTGAGACACATAAAAAAAATGACAAGGGAAAGCTATAAATACTTATCTTAGACATCCACTTACAACTGAAGCTCGTTAAGATTTGTGAGTGGTGCGGGTAGAACTTGTCCGCAAATTCAGGGTAGCGAGAGATGCAATGCACTAGGTAATTGTCATTGAAAGGTTCGCCAGCGAAGCAAAGAATATCGGAGCGAACACCGAAGACAAATACGCAAATTGATATACATATATAAACTGGATACCGAAAACATATACTAGATAGATAGACTGATATAAATAAGTATATATATACACTGAGATGAAACTGTTTAGTTATCGTCGATCTCATTTAATAGCCGTACAAGCGTAGTTCGCATCGTGAGCTAGATGATATATTTACTGATGCTAAATGAAAGCGTCTGCAAAGCGATTCCAGAATGAAAGCATTTATATATGATGGGACCGGCATAGAGAGGGCAACAATTCCACTTCAACAAAAACCGGTGAGCATCTACAGAGTGTGCTCTGGGCTCAAGACCTCAAACCGATTGTGCGATGAGCATAAATGGGACCGTGGTCATTCAGGAGAGGCCCAATGACTTGTGTGCCAAACCGAATAATGTCTCCGTGCTATTTATTCAACGTGAATCACTATTAAAGGAAAGGAAGCAGAAATGACCGGATATCAATAACGCTTCATCGTGTAGGTTCGTCAGGCGTGCGGCCAAACTGTTCGACGCGTCACGAAATGACCATCGCTGTGACAAAACTGATACTTACAACGCACGCTAAAAGTTTAGCATAAACTATTGATAAATCAGAAACATGTACAGAAATAGCGATGAGAATAAAACACGTGCTAGGTTGAAAATGGGGTTCGATCAGAAAGATGAATTGACAGGAAACATTGAGACAGGCAATGCTGCTTTTGCAGACACTGTTAGTGTAGGTGACCAGGCGTATGTCTTCATAATGTGGGGTAGGGTGGGGTGGGGGGTGGGGTGGGGTGGGGTGGGGGGAGGTGATAATGCGGTGGGGTGGTCCGGGACAGGCAGTCAGAGAGGCAGAAAAAGGCAAATTGTGAATTGTGAGCAAGAATCGACAACAAGCGTTCACTGTGATTTATGTTATGTACAGGTATATTAGCAGCCTTTACAATCGGACCGATTATAATTCCAGATAATGAAGCCGAATGGACGAATGAACAGGTGATGATAATCATAATAAGTGGAATAAAAACTTACAAGTAGGCATGTGAATGAGAATCGACTATGATACACAAAGAGGAAAGAAGAAAAGTCGCAAAGACAGAGATTAACGATACGAAAAAAATATTATTATTATGTCGTCACAAATCAATAAAGCTGTGCTCACTGCAGAAAATGATATTTTTTGTTATAATTTACTTTTATCTAATATCTTCGATATATTTGAAATTGATGCTTAGGCCCTAGATAAGTAAATCTACACCATATAATACAACGATCTGCTATCGTAAATACGGATATATCAAGTCTTTGTTATTCGACAAATTGTTTTCACTCCATTTGAAGTCAGCCCAGAAGCTATCGGTGCGACACCGATACGAGAGGCCGAACATTCGAGGTTTTCTTGGCCTGTGCCTAACTCCATCTCATGTAAGTTTTTAGGTGCGCAACAAGGAATAGAAAACATATAACAAACAGCCGAGTAAGACAGTCAATAAAGTAGTCTCGTAAAGCGTTGCTTTAGATTCGGCACACTCTTTATGGTAGGACCACTGTATATTTTGAGTTTTACGTCCGGTATTGCCGTTAGACATAGTTCCATGAAACGGCTGACTGGCTCCCAGCACGAAGCAAAACGTGTCTTTGACTGGATTCGAACCTAGACCACAACGTATCCCTAAGGTCAGCATGCAAATATATTACTCACCAAGCTTACACAGGGGCAAGATTAAATTCCAAGGCCCTCTAATGCGCATATCGTACGCGATTTTTTTTATATTAGAAAGAACGTGTCGATCTATTGTGTAGCTGCGGCACGAGGAACTAACAAAACAAACTTAACAAATTAGGGACTCAAACAATCGAAAGTTGAAGAACGCATTAAAAAATTATATTAAAAAAAACTACCAAAAAAATTTCCTTTTAAACCTGTGTCTATTTTCAGGTAATTTCTCATCTTTAATTCAGAAGGTATATCACTCCATACAAACTTTTTCGTTATGTTGTAAAACAGAGCGAAGTCCCTCAGGTATATGTATCTACCTTGCAGAGGGTGCAGATGAAAGCGGGTTTAAGTTTTCTATTAATTTTATTTGTGAATGCCCTGTCTTATATATATATACAAGGGATGGGTCGATATTTCGATGTACTGTGTAAGAGGTCAATAGTCAATTTTCCTAGCTGATCTCGACAGCGCTCTGCCTCATTCTCTCCCTACTTCTCTCTCTGTCTGATCTGCGCTGGGTTACAGAGTACTAGAATTCATGATATGCTGATAGGCCTACCAAAAGTGTTCAATTCCAATCCACCTGTATCCTTTCTTGGTCCGTTTCGGCGAAGGGGGCCTTCAAGTTGGCAAGCAACTTCAGCCATATGCGCCCTTACAGATTATCATCTAACGCGCGTACTCCTACCGGATAATGTCTGCCGCGGCTAGATTCTATTGACCGGCGTAACACCGGGTTCACTGTAGAATCTCTCGTTCTTACGGTTCTGAACAGTGAGGGAAACGGTTGTTGGGCTGGCCTTATAGGGCCACACAGGAACGAGTAAGATGTGGCTAGTCGGCCTGAACGTAATAGCGGTTACTCCTGGTCGGTTCGGCGAGCCGATAGAGGAATGTTATATTGTTACCAGGGGAAAATTAGATTGAACGACAGCAAAGAGAGCAGCCAGTTACTATCCACTGTACATTATAGCGCACATCCATTTCTCCCTTTGACTGAGCCATCGTCGGTTGCCGATCCGCCGGTGTTGGCTGCTGGTCGCGGAGGGGCTTAGCCTAAGCCCACACTAGCTATCCCTCAGCAGAAACCTGCAATACCCGCTGTTGAAACCTCTCTGACTCTCGGATCTAGCTGTGTCTGGCCGTCGGCCTTCAGCTCTCCGGCGGCCGACAGCCATCGTCTTCTAGCAGAAGGTCTATGCTGGGCTGCAGGCCCAATGCTACGTTTCTGTTTCGGCTTCGCTATCTATAGCCCACCCCCTCCCCTTTTCTCTCTTTGCCCCTCTACAATCTCATCCTAGGCTAGCAGATTTAACGCATCTCCCGTCCACGCGTTCTTCTCGCTTTTCGCTAAACCTCTAACTTATACAAGGAGAAGGGGAAGGCCGCTTCGCTATAGGGATATGGCGAATCACAAAAAGATAAAGCGAAAAACGGAGAGAAAATTATGAAGAACTGGGTGGAGGCGGACGCTGTGGCAAACACAGTGATAACTCAAGTCGCAAGAGGACCAAGAATTATTACGTTGGGGATTTGCAAATCATCGAACCCCAAATGCTTCTCAATGGGGTCCCTACGGGCCCGGAATTGTGGTCTCCCCATAAATCCACCTTGCTCCCTCACAACTTCTTCTTTCCCTTTGTCCTCCTTTAGCATTTTACCTCGAAGAGGCAAAACATTCTCTTTCAACAAAAACGGAACCGGTGTCTGCATGATTACTGACATATATACCGAGCAATTTTAATATACAAGAGCGGTGTCCTGGACTCGAAATCGATTCCGTTCCTCCACACACATACGGACACACGTTCCGACATGCTTCGTTCTGAAAACACGCTGACCCCTTTATATTCTACCATATGTAAGAAGGAAACTTTAATAAGCTCTCAAATAAAATTTGCACGAAATTTATGAAACGTACGCTCCCTAATTACTGGTAGCATAAATGACAAGTGTCGTTTGTCGTGACAAAGCCGTAAGACACAGGAGAAACCTGAATCGCTTTTTTTTCTTGCCAATAACCACTAAAACCTGCTTAGGATTTCTGCCGCTATATAGCAATTTCATAATGCTGTATAAACTAATTATGTAGTAAAGGCTGTGCGATTTCTATTCGAGGGCTGATCAAAAGGATGCCGAAAAAATTGTTTTATTGATGGTCAGTCAGCTGCAGGCGTAGTTAAATAACAGCGTCTAAATTTATTACTATTTAACTTATATACTTAATATCGAAAAAAAACTAACTTCAATAAAAGAAAGTGTACACGAAGATAATTTTTTGCTGTCGTCCCTAACTACCTACTTACTTTATTGTCACAAGCAAAACATCAACAATTATCTTGGAACTGCCAATGGGTCATGTACGTAACAGTCAAATACAATGTCCCTAGTTAAAAACGACAAATGACCTTACAGCAAACTCGACCACCGCCATACCGACGTTTTTACCAGTTTAACTAGAAGTTTGTATATCAGCTTCATCTTTCAAGTTAGTCAATCATTTCGCATATCCATCTGCCTATATCTAATCGCCTCGAACGTTCAGGTAATTGTCAAGAGCTATATCGTACAAAGGTCACTCAGATGCACGCATGGCTGTGCGATTCCTAGTTAAAGATGCTATTAACGAGCCGACGACAGGTCGACGGGCAAGGTTTCAAGTTGAGAGACTAAATCGATTATCGGACTTACAAGCCAACCATTTTACTCCGATATTCACTGTTTTGCGCACCATTCTATCAATATATCTACGCATGGACATATAAACGAGACAGTGGTTGGAATCGGATTGGGCAGCTGCACATTGTAGATGGCAGCGGCGGGGGCGGCGGCGGCCATGGCGCCGATTGTGGCAGCCATGCTGGTAGAAGTGCGTAGATTACAATGATGATGGTGGCCATGTTGCTGACAGGGAGATCGCTGTATTAAGGCAGAGCCGGGTGGGCGGTGCTTGAGCGGAGGGCTTCTCTCATTGCTCGCCTGTCCGGCTCAGTTTGTCCGTCGCTGCTCGTTTGGTTTCTTGTTTGGCGCTCAGCTGCTTTTTCTGGCTTGGCCTGACTCGCACTCGGTTGTTCTCGGCCCGCCGGCCAGGCGAACAACGTTGATGAGGTTAACTAGTCTTTCGGATTAAGGGACTCAGGGGCGCGGCTGGGCCGTGGACTAGCAGCAGCAGGAGCAGCGGGAGCAGCCTCTCAGCAGAACAGAAAGCAGAGGTCTGTCGGGCCCGACGAGTAGTACCGCTGCTGAAGCTATTTCGAGGCGAGCCACCAACGAAGTGACGAACGAATGAATCAACTCAGTCAACGTCGGATGAGAGTCTGGAGACCGCCGCCGCCACCGCGGCCTAGTTGGCAGGCTCTGCTGGCTGGGTCGGGCTGGTCGATGGGTCGCTTACTCCTAATGGGCAGAAATATAATAGCATTGGATAGACAGAGCAGTGGTATTAGTATTTCGCACGGCGCTGGCTACCGAGACGAACAAAGACGAGTGGGAACGATGGTGTCGGACAGTGGTAGAAGGAGAAGACGGTAAAGTAGAAGCGAGGCAGATGGGGAAAGCGGATACTACAGCTGCTGCTGATGCTGTTACCTCTACGTTATAGGTGCGGTCGCAGCTGACCCGACCGCTGTTCCCGGGTTGTGCCAGGTCGAGAATGGAGACCACGGCGATCGCACCGTAGAATCTGTCAGCAGCGTCTGACTTTAATAGCAGTAACGGATAGCTCGTCACCGCTCGGTGAAGTGTTCGTAGGACAATTGCCGCTTGCTCGATGAGATCGACTAGTTAAAAAGAGGGCACTTACCTCTGTACATGGAGATTCGTAAAGACGAAGGGAACCTGCTGCCGAAAAAGGCCTCTTGATCATTTTATGCACACTGCACTTATTGGCACATAGCTATTATATTATGCTATATGAAGACACGGAAAAGAAGTAATTGCTCGAGAAGTAATTATACAGGTCAGCACGTGGTAAATAACAAAGGTGCAGTGTTG